CAAAAAGAGGGGCGGCCTATTTATAGGCGCTTACAAGAGGTTTCTTGAATACTAATGGGCTTGGCCCAATTAAACAACTAAAACAAGAAGCCTGATCCCAGGCCAATGGGCTGGTCGGGCCCAGAGTTAAACTAATCAATCCAAGGACCATATTATCTAGCCGGACCGTGTGCTGGGCCTGGTTCGCGCCCGAGCCCAGGCATATTGGGTCGATAGTATTGGACCTGGCCCATTATCCCAACACAGTCCTTTATGAAATGATCAGACTTACCACAATTGTAACAGACCTTTTTCTTAGACTTACCTCTCTTCTTACAAAGCTTCTGACTATTCTTATCTTGATTTTCCTTCTTGGAGTTCTTAGATCTATTCTTAGACCTACCCCTCACAAACAAGGCATCACCGGACTGATTGTCATGACCCCTATTTTGTTTCAAATCAAGTTCTCTATTTTTTAAGCCATTAACCACAATATCTAAAGTAACATCATCTCTATCATACTTGATGGCGAGAGAGATGGGCTATGAGTCATGACATGATGTGTAACAATGTCTCGGAGTAGAACAGACGTCCGTTTAGTACGTAGACCTCGGCACAAGGAAACCTCTGCATCAGCGTTAGTGCTAGATTCTAGCACAATCGGTGGGTGGGACCATCAGATCAAATGGCGGTGGAGAGGAAGAATCCGCAGGTGCATGCTCAGTGTCAAAAACATGAGGTGCACCTTTTGCCAAAGCCATGTCATTGGTTATGCCAGAATACAGGAAGGACATTAAGAAAGGAAATTCTTCTTCATGAAATTGCACATCACAGGATACAAAAATATCTCCAGTTCCATTCATACAATTTCCAACCCTTCTGACCATGTGGGTAACCAAGAAAATCAAAACACACAACCGATTGCGTGGGGAAAATTTATCCCCTCGAGAATATGAGTTGTGGGCGAAACAAAGACATCCAAATGTGCGCATATGAGAAAACGTCGGTGCGGTCCCTATAAGCCATCCATAAGGAGTTTTACCTCATAGGAGACCTGAGGGTGTGTGATTAATCAGATAAATAGTTGTAAGTACACATTCACCCCAGAAGCGCATGGGCATATGAGCTCGAAACATCAGGGCACAGGCAACGTTGAGAATATGGCGGTGTTTGCGTTCCAACCACCCATTTTGTCGTGGTGTGTGGACACATGAAGTCTAGAACATGATCCCACACGTAGCAAAATGTGGTAATATGCATTTAAATTTGGAGCCATTGTCATTACACACAGTTTTAACAGAGTCATCATATTGTTTCTCAACCATAGCAAGAAATGACAGAAAATACTCGTGAACTTCCTTTTTGTCATGAAGTAAATAAACCCAAACAGCTCATGAAAAATCATCTTAGCATGAGAAAATAAATAGCATCACAAGTAGAAGGAGTTATATATGGTCCACACAAATCACAATGTATCAATTCAAGAATTTGACTAGCTTTATTATCACTAAGGGGAAAAGAGTCCTGAACTTGTTTATCATGTGGACACACCTCACAGGTTTTATTCAATTTCTTTTGAGCAGTACTAGAATTAATAGGAGGTAACAATTTTAGAACCTGGTCTGAAGGATGCCCCAACCGACGATGCTACAATTCAAATACTGTCAAAGCTGGCGCCCGAATTGCATGCAGAACTGGTATTGTGCAGAAATAAAAGAGCACATCTCGCCTTTCACCGGCTCCAGTCAGGTTCCTCGAGTGTAGGTCCTATATAGCACACAATGTATTAGTAAATGTGACAAGGCATTCAGATTGATCAGTCAACTGTGAAACAGATATAAGGTGGCAATTCAAACGAGGCACATATTACAAAAAAAAAACAAAATAAATAATTTTTCACGATCTTTCATATCACACAAATATTATATATGTATTTAAAAATAAAATTATCCAATAAATATATTAATGGTATAATTTTAAAAATAAAATTATCCGAACTGTATTTTAAAAATGGTAGCTGTTTTTTTGTACAATCTAGTAACTGTTAATATTACCATGCGACTTTTATTTAAAAATTACATATGCAATATTCGTGTCACATGAAAGATCATAAAAATTTATTAAATTTAATATATATTTTAAATTAACCAGATTATAAACAAAAAGTTATTACAATTTGTAGATTATAAAAAAATACTACGCAATAAGGCTCCAAGCCTCCAACTAATCCACATGTCTACCTTCTCAACATGTAATATGTAAGAAAATGGGTATAAAATTCTGTTCAGAAAGGCTGATTCCGATTTTTTTTTTCAAAATCTTGTTTAATTCTGAATAGGATTAATCTTTATAAAAATAAATATATGTTCAGAATCCATGATTCCGAATGGTTTTTTTTTGAGCAAACCTAATTTACTTGGAATACCTCTTTCCGAATAACGTTATCATAGAAAACCTAAAAAAACTCATGTTCTTTTGCACGAGTTGTTGCCTTTTCCCGTTCTCCACGACACTTGTCTGTACCATTGTCAGTCAAAAACGGCAAAATCTCAAACAAGGTGAGTATGTTGTTACGATAATAATATTGTAATTTCGTGGGGATCAATGAAGCAAACATTAACAACCACATCATCAAATCGTGTCAAATTGATTATACTTTATGAAGGTGGAAGACAATGTGTATGACTATGATCCATGATACAAAACATACAAAGTGAGTATGACCTGAATGAAAATAATACATGTATTATTGTAAGGAGATAACAATTGCCATATTAGAGGAGGTAAAACAAAACATATATGATCAATGTTTTTCTTAACCCATGATCTAGAGAAAGAAATGAAGATCAACATCCAACAAAACAAATCAAATCTAATGAAAATCCTTATTACCTAATCACCAAACCATTGTTCGAGAAAAAATTTGTATTGTAATACCCCTTCCCCTTAGGGTCCAAGATCAACACCCCCTTTTTATTGTTCATAGATACTCCATAAAAGTTTAAATACATGCAAAAATTACATTCTTATCACTTACATGAAGAATTGAATAAATCACTTAACACTTCCTAAATCACTTACACGATGTTTACTTTAAAAAGATCATTTTCATGAAGAATTGAATAAACCATTCATAATGTGTATATTTCCTATTGCAGGCACCTAAGGGAGTTCATGTTTGCAGGGGCGTATCTGGCTTAGGGCTAGGGAGGGCCCAGGCCCACCATAAGAAAATTATTTGTGTGTGCGTGTGTATATTGTATTGTTGTATAGAAAGTGTATACTTACAAAGAAAGTCAAAATGTAAGCAATATTTGTTTAAGTGAGATGGCATCAGACATACGCTTCTCACTGAGATGCCCCGAGTTCACTCCCATGGGAGAGGGGGGGGGGGGGGGGGGGGGGATTTTTTAATTTTTTAAACGGGAGAGCGTTGTGTCTTACAAAATTCAATTTTTTTTCCCAAATCTCTTTTCCCACACCGGAAGAAAAGAAGGATTCTTCCTTCAAACATTTTGTATTTCAATTCGATCTCCATCAATTTGTACAAGTTTAACATCAATTTCAATAAACTTAAAAATTAATTAGCTTAGTTCACCATGATTGGTAGATGAAAATTAGTCGAGTTATTTTACATAGAGTATAGACAATAGACTATAAGTCAAAAGAAAATTGATTTTACTCGATTTTCGATAAATTGACCTGCATATCCGTACCAACCATAGGAGTCTAATGGTTTTATTGCTCTAAGCCTTTAATGACTTGTTTGTATACTTTCATTCTTTCAGATTTTAGCTTGATGTCTTTATATAATTCTAATTTTTGTACTCATGTTTACATTTAATTTGACATTATCTAGTTGTAAATTTGTGTTTTTTTTCCTATTTGAGTGAAAAAAAATCTTATTCTTTTTTTTTTCTTCGACACTTTTGTTGTAACAAGTGTTATTTTATATCTGAAAATAAAATTTGTTAAATACACATTACTTTACTACTTTTTGACATTTTTGCAATACACACTATTTAATTACATCCCCCGAATATCATTGCTAGATCCACCCCTGCATGTTTGCAAACGTGTTCCCAACATTATATTTTTTAAAAGTTTAATTTATAATACATTAATTAATAAAATATAGTCAAAGTAGAATATGTGAATAGTGGAAAAAAATCCAATGTTGCAATTAAAAGAGCACGGAGGTAGTATCATGGATGTTTCTAATTGGCGATAGAATAATAGAACTCTCTTATTTTTTTTAATTGCCAATTTAATTTCTACACTGAGACACAAACAAATGGTAAGAAGACATAAACGAACAGAGATGTACGATAATAGAAATAAAGAAAATACAACAGAAACGAATTAAAATTACTAGATATACATACCTATATACAAGAACAGAGGGTATATATGATGAGTAAGAGCAAGACAGAGACATACGATAAAGTAGATGAGCGACGGAAAGCGTGAAACAGGAAGGGTACAGATCGAAGAGAACGAAAATGGCGATATTAAATGCTAGACACCCTAGCCTCTCAATATTTAGCTGTTTAGATCCAATAAGCTGACTCAACTGGTCATTAACCAAATAATAATTTTAGGTTTTTAGGTAGTCAAAATCATCAATTGCGGTAAAAGAAGTCAAAAATTGGCTGAGTTACTCGCGTTGATGACAGATAGTAACGTATATTACTATTCATCACAATTGTTGATGACAGTTTGTACTTAATTACTTATTTATCTAACTAATGTATCAACTATCTTCTAGAAAATAAACATATGACTTCAGAAATGACTTTTAAAGTAAAAAATGTACTGGTTTCCATTTTTATACTACGTATTAGACGTTGGAAAAAGAAAAACAATTTGTTATAATGAAGAAAGATCCAGAAAAAGTAAAATAAAAATTAAAAGAAAGGTAAGAAACGTGTTACCAGTGCCTAGCCAATATTCCTCTCACAAGAGTAAACAAGTGGACAAAGGCAATTAAAGTTGAGCACAATCATTAATCACCCCTTTGTCATAATTGTGCATTACGCGTTAAATGGAGTTGCGGGGAGAATGGGCGCTTCTTCAATAAATCCTCTCTGTCATTTATTTTATTTTATAATTTTGTTTTGTTTGGTAGCTAAAAAAAATGTCTGCAAGACAAGGAACGAAATCCCAAAAACCAAGCTCAAGAGTGGCGAATTCCCCAGCTTCAGCTACTACTTCATCGTCGAAACAGTTCCGGGAAACTTATATTGACTGCGCGACCACACCGGCGGCGTCATCATCCGCCCGGAGTAAGCCTCGGTACTATTACTCTGAAAGTTCCCCTCTGAGCACGGAGAGATCCAAGGAAAATGTTACAGTGACTGTACGGTTTAGGCCTCTAAGGTGCGGCGGCTATGGTGTCTGGAATTACTTCGTAATGATTAGCTGTAGCTGTTCTATTTCTGAGTGTTTGTTTTGGTTGCTTGTTGGAGCAGTCCTAGAGAGATTCGACAAGGGGAGGAAATCGCGTGGTATGCAGATGGGGATACTGCTGTGAGGAATGAACATAATCAAGCATTAGCATATGCATATGGTATTTCCTGTTGTCTTGATCTATTTTTGTTAATCAGTTATTTTTGTAGTATAATAATAAGAAAGTAAAAAACATTTCTTTTTTGAACTGTTTATTTTATTTTTTTCTCTCGTGAATATGCGTCTGTTAATGAACTTTAACGAATATAGCAAGATATGTATGGAGTCATGGGCCAATGTCATTGAAGTTAATATTAGTCAGATATTTCTTCTTTGGGCAAGTCAAACCGCTAAACAGCCTGAAATAGAGGAAAAAATGTGCATATGGTGGTTGTATCTTGAGTTTGGTCGTTATAATGATTTGGGAGTAGAAATTAAAACTCGAGTACCTGGAATAAACCTATTCCCTCTCTCCGGTAATGCCATAAATTAACTACAAGTTTCATTTTTGAGCGATTTCTGACCATTTCCTATTTGAACTTGATCTTAAATATGATTGGCTGTTTTCCAGATCGAGTGTTCGGCCCTACAACCACAACGCGGCAAGTCTACGATGTGGCTGCACAGCATGTTGTTACTGGTTCCATGGAAGGGATTAACGGTAAGCAATTCAATAACATTGTTGTACAATTTGCTCTTGGTTTTGATATATAACAAGCACCGCAGAAAAAGTTGAAATACATGCACAATACTATTTTGTGGTAGTCAAAACCGAAGTGAGCAGTATGCACTGTTGAGGTGATGCAAGACAGTAATAGTGCTAGAGAGTGGTGTTCAATAATTCAACAAGTTGAAACTATCTTGTTTATTGTATGAGAAAATTGGGCCAACCATATGTTACGGGTGTGGTTGGGAGATGAACATAAGAAGACTTAAAACTTGAAAGTATGGTAACTGGAAAAACAACACAGGCTCCCGCCCTCGTCAAGGAAGTGTTCGCCGGTTCCATTGAGCGCACAAGAAGAATTATTTCTCCAAAAGATTGATGATCTTATTCATTAATATAGCACCTCTATTTATACTAGTTCCAAGAGTCTTGGTGGTCTATTAAAAGAGTAACCCTAATTCTGTTACAATGCTTTTATTAGGAAATGAACTAAAATAGAACATCTATGATGATAGGAAACTGCAACTAATAATAACCTTAGGAAACTAACACTAATACTTTAGGAAACTAATAATAACAATAATGAATAATAATAATAACAGTATTAATGGGCTTCTTTCCATATCACAATATGGATGGATTTCTGAAATTGATGCTTGGCTGAAAGCTGTTTCTGTTAGGGATTGTTTACTTTTTATCCCCATCAAGCCCCGTCTGAATTAAGATGTTTGTGTTTGTTAGATGTCAGTACGAATTAAGTAGTTTTTATATAGGGGCTGTTTACTATGTGTGCTAACTGCTAAACAAACAGTCTGATTTGGGAAATAACCAATTTAAGGTTATTCTTGGGCGTCCTTTTCAATGAGTATTCTCGCTTAAAAACACACATCTATTCCATATTGCGCATGTTTAGCTTTGGTATTTCGTAATTATTTTTACAAAAAAGTCTAATTTTCTAGGTTTTAGAAAAAACAATTAGCAGAGTTTGGTGGTTATTCCATGCAGGATTGAGAGAGGAGTACTTCATGACTTCATTTTATGAAATTAGTTTAGTTGATCAGAAAATTATAAGTTTCCTAAATAAGTCACTTTTGGGCTAAATAGGCGTATGCAGCAGAGGGAATAACACATGAAGGTTTAACAATTTAGTTAGTTTTTGGCTGAGCGAATAAGCTGTATATTTAATAAATAAGCCGTGTTTTTAATTAAGCCATAAATGAACTTGACTTAAATGGCGAAGCGATTTAGTCATTCTCCATGTTAAGCCCATTAGTTCAGAAGCAAACAACCCTTAGTTCTGAAGTGCCCAAGTGAAATGATATAATATTGGCATGTTGCCGAAGTACACTTTTACAAAGATCACTTTCTGATCTTGGGATCTGAAGGCGGTTGAGTTACACTTCAAAATTGTATTGTAGTTGCGGTTTTAAGGGGCTTCTATCTTATGATGCAATCTATTCAAGGTGGTGGATTGTGCTGATATCCTTGTGTGATACAAAAACAAAAGTACAAGTTAGAGACAACCAGAAACATTCATGAACTTGTGCAAATGAACAGCGTGTATTAACTATTAATCTGGAAAGTTGGCTTTAGTCTTCAATAGTCTGTTCGTGGTGGTTTGTCATGATGGTGATGCTACCAAGAAATTTTTTGATATGAAAAATCAAAATTTGTGAATTGGCTAGTTTCTGTTATATCTGCAGCAAAAAGACACTATATTATGACAGTCTATTTATGTAGTTATATATGGAGTCATTTTCTTTGAAAGTTTTGCCCTATTTATGGTTATAGAATCCATTAAACCAACAAACATGTTGCTTAACAATTCAGAGTTCTTTTGCCGGTCATCTATTTAGAATGTCTTGGGTTCTTAACTATGCATCTTCTATGGAATCAATTGGGGGGTTGTTGTTGTTAGAGAGTTTCAAGCTCAAATTTCTGTTTGTTAATTTGTTTGCTCATTATCAATACTCCTGAATTACTTGAACCGGTATATATTTCTGAGCATATTGTCACTTTTCTACATGAATGGAAAACAAGGATAAAATGAAAAAAACTTAGAAAATGTTTAAGTTATGGTTTGTCACGGGACGCCCACTCTAGACGCATCATCCCTAGGTCATTGGCTCATTGAATAACTCTGGTCTTCATTATCCAGACATCCACCCTATTCCGACTTCTACATAAAAGCGAATGTTTAATAGGAAGTTAGATGGAGCAATGCTGGTTGAGATGTGAGTTTATGGGGGAGAGAGAGTTCAAAACTAATGGAGTAGCCTGGAGCTAGAGAATGTTTGCCATGTGATGCAGTGAGGGATGAAATGAGTTGATTGCAGGTTTTACATGTGATTTTATAGGATTAGCTTTTGGGAAAAAAGAAAACATAGGGATGACTTTGTTACTGAGAGTTACAATGAGAACAAGGTGTTTTGTAGGAAGACTCTATTACCCCTACCATTTTTATTTTATATGTATGTTGACGTGAATAGAAACACAAATATTAGTTTTCATTCTATTGATGGGTTTTGTACTAATTGAGTTGTGTACTAAAGCTTATCTCAGTTATTTATTATTTGATTCTGATTCTTATTTTGGAATTATGAAACAAACAACCCCTTACTTGATGAGATATAGCACCCCCTTTAACTATGTGAAGCCATTTGTTTTTAAAAGTTAAAACTTGTGTGTTATATATGACCAGCAGGCATTTGGTTTGTAATTCATGGACTTGTGTTGTCTGTTTCTCTACTTCAAGTATTGGATTAATGGATTTTCAACCAAGCATCCATTATGCAATCATTTACTTGATATTGCCTCACAGTCTCCTTTACACTGTATAATGTTTGAGCAGTTGATTACTTCATATTTCCTCTAAGCCTCCTTTTCAATTTGCATAATGTTCGTGCAGTTGTGTTTTATTCTCTATCCTTATTGAGAGAATTTGTTTCGAGCATCAATGTTGCTAAAGCCGAGTACTTTTTTGTTGTTGCTTCTGTCCAATCACAGGCACAATCTTTGCATATGGGGTTACGAGCAGCGGTAAAACTCATACCATGCATGTAAGAAAAAATCATTTCTTAAAAACTGTTCAAATTCAGTACCATGATATATACAAGACCATAACACCATTCTGGTGTTAATGATGAGTGAGCCCAGGCCTTAGTGTGAAGATGCATACAACAGAATGGAGGCAGCATTTTGAAATGGGGGAACAAATTGTCTTTAAATGGACCTTACTATATTCGTGGACCATATCCGTAATTTCAGTTCAGTACTACATGGTTAATAGTTAGAAGATGACATTGTTTAGTTTGCGGGACCAATGTGGGGTGGCATTCCCAGCTGAGGGATGTTGCACACAAACGTCATCATAGGGCGTTTATAAGGTTTATTTGTGAGATAGGCGTGCTAAGTTTCTTTTTGTCTTGTTTACATGGTTAGGTGCACTATGACAACATCTAGTTTAAAAACTTTAGAAGAGCTCATTGTTCTCATGATTCTTGATGCCACATCTACATATAGTGATGTGAGTCTGTCTCCTGTTAGGGCCACACTAAATGACCGAAGGAGTCTTTTAATAACAATAATAAAATTAATAGCAGTAATATAATAACTCCTCTTGACTATATTGTTTTACTTACATGCATATAGGGAGATCAGAGGTCCCCTGGTATTATACCATTGGCTGTGAAGGATGCCTTCAGTATTATTCAAGAGGTAGACTTCAATATATTTGAATAACTGCATACTGTTAAGCTTTATGCTTTGAGACAGACCCTCAACTGCCCTTTTTTCATGCTTTAGACTCCTAGCCGAGAATACCTGCTTCGTGTGTCATATCTGGAAATCTACAATGAGGTATGTTTTTATGGTTTAGTGGTCCAGAGCTGTTCTATTGTGTCACATCTGGAAGTTCATATGCAAGTAACTTTTTCAGCTTACAAAGTTATGTTTGTCAATTGTTTTAATTATTGAACTAATTCTCGTTGTCACGTTGTTCAGGTTGTTAATGACTTGCTAAATCCCGCTGGACAAAACCTAAGAATAAGAGAGGATGCTCAGGTACTCTTATCAATTGTCATGTGATTATTGTCCTCTTTAGTAATGTTGGATTGCTCTGTATGGATTTGTTATGTTGAAATTTTGTTGGTCCATTTGGCCTTTCACAACCTTCATTGACATAGAACACTAGTTTGCTTCTTGGTATGAATACAAATGAGTATAAACCATCTGGTAATAACTACTTTGAATCATTTTGCTTTTTACTTGTTAGTTAATTGAACCATAAACTCACATGATCACACTATCTAGCATCTTATATGCACATATACACATTCTGCAGATGCGGGTGCCTAATCTTATAACCTGGTTAATAAAACATTTGCAAGGGATGAATCTACCACCAACTGATTCCGGAAACATTTCATATAGAGTATGGTCTGTTTGCTAGATGAGCTTAGGAACTAGTATAAAGCTGAAAATTACTTTAAAAGTGAAAAGCTAATAGCTGATCAAAGTCATGAAACTGGAACTGAAACTCTGAAAGTTCATAGCTAATAAGATATTTGTTTCATGATCTGAAGTGAAAGTATTTGATGCATTTTTTAAATTAATTGTTTTGTAAAGCTTGGAGTTTTTATGAACATCTGCTTTTATAATGTAGACATAACTGCACATGGCATTATATGAATTCAGTTACCCAATAACTGACATAACCTATGTATGGTTATTCCTTTGGGCACACTGTCACATCCTTTAGTCACACCGTCACAGTGATGAGATTCCGGTCATGGGAGTTAAAAATACAGATCAGTGTTTTCTGTCGGTTATTTAACCACAAACCACCAACTGAATGTTCAACACTACTCTCTATTCTACGTGTCCAGTTATCATAGATTGACCTCTTCACTGTTTTATTGAGTATAGTTATCTTTGCTATATATTTGACCATAATGTGTACCGTGTACTAATTAAATAAGTACAAACAGCGGTTTTCATTATTGAGTTTGATGAGTTTTGCCGCTTCCACAAAAGTATTAATTCAAACTTTAACAGGGGACCTTTGTGGAAGGAATCAAAGAAGAAGTTGTTCTATCCCCAGCTCATGCCCTATCTCTTATTGCTGCAGGGGAAGGTAAGTACTAAGTACCGTCACCTTATCTTTTCTTACAGTCAATAGTGCTTGGAGAAGTGAAGAATGTGTTTTTCTTTTAACATTTGCTTAATTTTTACACCCCCATAATTGGACCATTATTCTTTCAAGATTTTTAAACATTGAGGAGTTCACATGTCCCAAAAACATTTCATAGTATTGGATGCCCAAGAGTCATATTCAATTTGAACAACTGGAGTACACAAACTTTTACTAGAAGAGGGAATCCGTTCATAGTTCTAAAAGGCGTTTTTGAGGCTTGCCTCAATTTGAAGCGCACAAATTTAGACCTGAGGTTACCCGTTGTTTGCATGTTGTGAGGATTACACCTATGGTTAATCATGGTAGGCTCATAAGCCTCGATGCTATCTTTGAGGTTTAAGTGTTACAACTCACAATTTTTGTTTCAAGGATTTTTTGGTCTTATTAGGCTTATTATTAACTCCATGATGAGCTTTTCATTTTTTTGCTGATTAAAGTCACCAAAGCCCATAAGAAATTATAGAATCAGTCCAAATCTGATAGGTACGCTAACAAACGACTAAGAATATTACAGAAAATTTTAAAGAAATGATCAAGAATTGATTAGAAAGCTTCAACTTCATTCATGGAGGAACTACAAAGAGTATACAGAAAGTAGTGAGACAGTTCGAGAGTCTCAACCTCCCACCCAATTCTAACTGAATATCAGCCTACCTCCCTCTCCCCCCTTTCCTCTATTTATTTCTTTTCTACTCTCATCCTTGCAGGGACACATCTGCTAACTAACTAACTAACTAACTAACTATCTCAGTTAACTAATTAACTGCTTTGTTCCTTCCCTCTACTGTGGTATACTTTCTTAAAGTATTTAATAGCATGTTCATCTTTATACACTTCATCCGCATGCCTGTCAAAATCACTCCTCTTTAGGTATTAGCTTATGGAGAATTCTGAAGTCCTAACATGAGTCTTTTTCTCGCTAGCTTCACACTACTCTCTAGTCTTTTCTCCTCTGTAGGTTTAAGATTCTTTTTTTTGGTTCTCCTCACTGTCTCTGTTCCACATGTTCTTGGACTCCTTTGACCTCTTTCCTGGCTCTGTTCTATTCTAACTTCTGGATATTATATTATGTTGTTCTTTTTCTCTGACAGAGTCTCTGCTATGCTATCCCTTGTAATGTTTAGTGACTTTAGTCTCAAATTAATGAGCTTCACAATTCAACTATGTAATTTGAAAGTTCAAAATCATAAAACATGGAGTTGTATGAAACATTACAGAATCAAAACAGCATGACTCAATTTAAATGTATAGTCAGTTATTTTATTCCTCAAGCATTAAACCGTCCCTTTAAACTTTGACACCAAGAGCATCTCAGAGAATGTGAAATACGTGAGGCATACTGCTAATTGCTAAGAGGTAGCGTCAGTGTCAGACCTCCCATTTAATAAATATGGTGCAATCGTACTATTGTGCCAAAGCTGATCTCTTGTTTATCTGTATAAGATTGGTTACAAAGATAAGCTGGTGAATATTGTTATTGTTTAGGTTTGCATATTGTTATTGGCTGAGTGAAGATTTATAAATACTACTCCGTAGTTTACTTGCGGATAACAGTACTGGGTTAAAGATACTAATCTGAACAGCCTGAAGTAGAAATATCATTTCACTTTCCTTTTTGTTGCTTTGATAGTGTTTAGTTTGTTTATTCAGAACATAGGCATGTTGGCTCCACAAACTTCAATCTACTGAGCAGCAGAAGCCATACAATATTTACGCTGGTATTGTACATTTTACTGATGGAGTTTACACAACATTTCTTTGTTTACTGTGCACTTAACTTTACTCGATTCACTTCAATTACCCTGAAATGTCTTCCTAAATAGCATCTGCTTTGATTTTCTTGTAACAGACAGTAGAGAGTAGCCCTTGTGAAAATAGTGAAGGTGAGGCTGTTAGCTTGTCACAGCTGGTAAATAAATTTTCCCCAGGATATACGATCTCCAATGTGTTTGTAATTTTTATCTGTTTTAATTTTTTCTTAATATAATATCGTCCTCTTATATTTGAAATCAGAGATGCCTGTGGCTTTATGCCATACTCCCTCCGTCCCATTAGAAGGTTCCCACTTTCCTTTTTTGGACGTCCCATATAAAGGTTCCCATTTCCATTTTAGGAAACAATTAACAATTTTAAGTGACAAATTAATCATTAAATATTAAAAATAATACATTTATAACATCACAATTATCATTTATCAATACTAACTACATTATAATATATACCTATTAAATTTATTTCTCAAAATATACTTGAAGTACTTTATTTAATTATTGTCTAAATAACCATGCCGTTTTGCTATGGGAACATACCAATGGGACGGAGGTAGTATTATACAAGGGGTAAAATCAATTTTTTGAGTAACTTATAGCTCTTGCAAATGAACTTATTATTGCAGCATCTCATTGACTTGGCCGGTTCTGAAAGCTCTAAGGCTGAAACTACTGGTGTGCGCAGAAAAGAGGGGTCATATATCAACAAAAGTTTGCTAACTCTTGGAACTGTGAGGCCTCAACCATTATAAGTAACACTGCTATTTTGGTCTTTTGGCACTTCCCATTACACATTACTCTTGCTATCTCCTGAAAGTAAATCCATTTCAGCAAATTGCTGTCATTAAACTCAATTATGAATGTTGATTGAAATATTTTTTTAAATAAAAGTTATTCTTTACATACCCCAATGAAATATGAGGATGGTGAATTAGATGGAGATGTATCCCATAAAATTAGAGCAGTGTGAATGAAATGCAAGAGTGCACCAGGATTTCTAAGCGATCGTGGTATGTCGACTAGACTGAAGGGTAAATTTTATCGAACAACAATTAAGCTTGCATTAATGTATGACGTAGAGTATTGGGCAGTGAAACAATGTCACATTCAAGTTTACACACCAACTTGGATCGAAGCAGCAATTCAAACCAGTTGAATTGTTGGGCACTTGGGCGGTGATTCTAGGCTCTTGAAAAAACTAAAGCGCGATTAGGCAGGCTAGGCAGCTGTTTAAGTGGCCTAAATGAATGCGCTTGGTTGGCTAGTTGGCTGACCAGACAGGCTACACAGGAGAAAATCTATGTCTATGTTTTTATGTATGTATTTATGTTTTCATATATGCATGCATGTATGTATAAAAATCTATAAACCGCCTGGGCACTAGGTGGTGGTCTTCCCCCCATAGAACTGCCTAACGATATCTGCAAACGGATGTAAATTCTAATCTGCTTGATTGCTGGACCAATTAATAAATCACGTGGGCCACTGATTTAGACCCTTATATATCTTCATGTTGAAATTCTTTTTTATAATTTACTTCATTCAGGTTATATCAAAATTAACAGACGAAAAGGCTGCTCATATACCATACAGGGATTCAAAACTGACCAGGCTTCTTCAATCCTCACTAAGTGGTCATGGGCGTGTATCTGTAAGGGTTTTGCATGCTTAACTGCATCTTGCATCTTTCTATCATTTAGGGACCAAATGAACATTCTAACACGGCACTGCAGGAATAACTATATTAAATTTCTGCAATAACTATATTAATTATCTGCTTTGCTTATTGCAGCTTATTTGCACCGTTACACCCTCCTCTAGCAATTCGGAAGAAACTCATAACACGTTAAAGTTTGCACACCGTGCAAAACACATCGAGATCCAAGCAGCGCAAAACAAGGTCTTTAATACACCCCAACTATCCATAAATGAAATGTGATTTGTTGACTAATAATCTAATGACTTTGTTAAAGTAAACTGGTGAAAATTTCAGATCATTGATGAGAAATCACTTATCAAGAAATATCAAAATGAAATTCTCCATCTGAAAGAGGAGTTGGAACAACTAAAGAAAGGCATTGTTACAGTTCCACAAGTGAAGGATAATGTTGGAGAAGATTATGTGCTTCTAAAACAAAAGGTACACAACAAGCTGCTTTTATGAATAACACTCTTTGGACTTCCTTTTTTTGAATCATAAAGAATATATTTCTCTCGGAACTTATTGTAATAGAACCAGAAAGGTTCTAACATGACTTACGTGCTCCTTAAGACAATTCTAAATCACTTTGCAGTACGTTTTTTTGAAGTATATTTGGCTCGACTAATATGATAAGCCAATTATAATGTTACTTAGTTACACTTCCCTCCATCATAGAGTTGTTTTGCTGCTGCTGTTTTAAGTTCATGTATTCCACAAAACTCACTGGTTCCCTTTTCTTCTAATTTTTTACTTCTTCTACTTTCCTTTTTTGGAAATTACAAATGTACCAAAAGACACAAGTGCCCTCACCTTTTCGTCTTCTCTTACTGGCCTTTTTACTTTTTCATCATCTCTTTCATACTTTTTCACCCTTTTTACATTAGTTTGTTAGGGTACAGTCACTACCCCTACATTTTTGTTCTTAAGCTCTGTGAAAAGCCTTGTGGAGGAAGTAAAAGTAATCAGGACTATTAAATTTGCAAATATTTATAATTACAAAAAGGCTGTTTGTGTTAGCATTCATGTTCAATCGGCTCTTTTACTAAGTTACTCCTCAGTAACACTGGGTATGTTTTATAAACTTTTCATGGTCAGACTATCAGCAAGTCCTGAATTGCAACTTTTGCATAATTTTTTTCATTTAAACTTTCTCTGATGCTAGAAAGGCTGCCACATGTTTGCCATCCTGTTGGAGTATTCTTATGATGGCAGCCAATAATATTTTTTTTGTTTACGTCAAATATAATTGTATATTTTCCTGTCAATAATGGTTTCATTGACTTGTAATATTCGTGTGCTTACTGCTCTTGTCATTAAAGCTAGAAGATGGTCAGGTCAGATTGCAGACAAGACTGGAGCAGGAAGAAGAAGCTAAAGCTGCTTTACTAGGCAGAATCCAACGTTTGACGAAACTAATTCTAGTATCATCTAAAGCTTCACAATCTTCCAGATTTCCTCATCACGCAGGCCATAGAAGAAGGCATTCTTTTGGAGAAGAAGAGGTTTCTATTATGATGCATTGGTGACCTTTTTTACATTGTATTTGTAGTAATGGAAAACCATCCCAAAAGTCTAATGATATAATCCCAATGAACTAAACAGTTGCAGTTAATTTGATCATTATGTAATCTGACTTCTTTGAACTTATTTGAAAGCTTGCGTATCTACCCCATCGAAGGCGAGATCTGGTCTTGGATGATGATGACATTGATTCGTGTTGTTTCCAAGATAGCAACATTGAAATAGTTGATACAATAAAGGAAGGAAAAAAGACAAGGAAAAATGGATTGCTTAACTGGTTAAAGCCGCGGGTGAGAGGAATATCTTGAGATATGTTCAGCCATGCAAATTGCTATTTGTCTCCTTGGTTTTTAGGTAATCTGTTAATGAAGTTCACTTCCATGTCTAGCAGAAACGGGAAGGTAGCAGCGGGACAATTGCAAGCACAAGTGACAAATCTAGCGGTCTCAAGTCAAATAGTACTCCTTCCACCCCGCAGGCAGAGTGTGGTAATGTTCACATGGAATCACTGCATTCAAATTCCTTGCCGACAGAAAACAATAGTTCTAGAGACATTCCTGGGGATAACTTTTTAGGACCAGAGATTCCCATGGTAGGACAATTTAATTTGCTTCAAGTTACCTTTCTTTATTAATTAATAATTTAATATTATAATAATTTTACATGTATAGTAACGCTCCGTAATAAGCAATAACAACAATAATAATAGTATTTTTTTTGGGGTGTAGGCGGGTGGGGGGAGGGGGTTGTTTTTGTTTCTCTTATAATTGTTATTATTTTTACCAATTAGCATTGATCACCCCCTTTCCATTCAAAAGGAAAATAAATAATTTGGCAATTGAATTTTCATTTCTCATAAGGCAGGCAGTTCAAAGATTCATATGTTGGAATTTTTCAGGGACTTTGAATACATGCTTGATCTTTAGTATAGGAATGCTGGAATATAACAACAGATTATTCTAGTTCCATATAGTTTAGGTTCAAGCGTATACACATGTGCATATATGTGTGTTCCTGTGTTTTAAAAATTATAATTATCATTAAATAATACGTAGTATATGTATGTATGTATGTATGTATGTATGTATGTATGTGTGTGCCTGTGTGTGTACTATATATATATATACATACATATACATATATATATCATATCTTTGGGTGTGTGTCTCGTATACTGTTTTTCCAGTATCTTGTTCTATGCTCTATGTACTTGTTGTAATTATATCCTGCTCTACTAGACTAGCATAAAGACCATCGATCAACTTGATCTACTGAGGGAAAAACAAAAGATTCTGCTGGATGAAGTGGCACTCCATACCAGTGCGTTAAAAAGGCTATCAGATGAGGCATTTCGGAGTCCTAATAAGGAACTCATACAAGTATATATCACCTTGATATACACTTTCATTTAATTCCTTCATTGGTTGCTCTTTTTGAAAACTGACATTTTCTTACATTTAAGGTGGAGATAAGAGCACTGAGAGATGATATCAGAAGGAAAAACGAGGAAATAGCTTCACTGGGAAAACAAATTTCTAATTCTTTCATGGATTCTCATGAGAATATCACTTGCTTTGAAGATTCATTAGTAAGCTTATCTTGTAAGCTATAAAGTTATCTTTGAGGACCAATTTGTGCTTTTACTAATTGTTGTTTATGCGCAGTCTGTTGCAGAACTTATGGCACAATTGAATGAGAAGTCTTTTGAACTTGAGGTAATGAGAAGCCATTTCCACACATGTGTAGGGAAAAGGACAAAAAGCAAAGGAAATTACTTTCTTGTGTTTGGTTTACCTAGGAGATTAAACGGAAATTGAATGAGTAATTCTAGGTATACATTTCATTTTTGTTTACATTATTCCAATGGGGTTATGGGTTTTAATGCACCAAACCACCTCGTGCTATATTTTTTTTGTGCATTTAACCTTTTGTGATTTAAAAAATGTGTCAACTCCTGTGTTATAATTAATCATTCGTAAAACCCCCCTCCAAGAACAAATTTAACAATTTTGAAATCACGTATCCTAATATTGTGATTGAATGTGCAAGTAAATTTGTCAAAATCCCTAAATTATTCAAAATTGCTAATCATTTTTCTTTTATTCAGCAATTAAAATTGCTCATGGAGGGAGTTTCGTGCACAATTAATTATATCACAAAGAGGTTTGACACTTTTTAAATCACACGGGGCTGATGCACAAAATTTATATATCACGAGGGGTTTGGTGCATTAAACCCTATTCTAAAATAGCATTTATTTATTGGATGATGAAAAGGTAACTAACTTTTTATCATCCAATAAATAGATGCCACATTGGAATATACACACAAAAATGTACCAAATAAATGCAATCATAGACTTTTTCAAATTCATTATGATATTTTTTCTGGAAATGTTACAGATGTTATTTTTCTTAGTCGTAATGTAATAAAAATGAACAAATAAAATGAGTTGAACTTTTCCACAATTGATTTGAGGAGTTTGAACCAATATTTTTATAAATCCTCCATATTTTCATAATTACATTCATTCTGAATCTCCCCTATATCTTCCTCTATTTTCTATTCCTAACATTTTCCTAGCTCAAGATGGATCCTAAGAAGTTTGCTGGTTTTCGCAGGTTAAAGCTGCAGACAATCGTATAATTCAAGAGCAGTTAAATCAAAAGGTAATATCATCTCACTGAGTTCCCCATATAACCTTGATTAGTTCATGCAAACGCAAGTTCAAGAGAAAAAATAATTTCTTACAAACAGACTGTTGAATGTGAAGAACTACAAGAAACAATTGCCTCCTTGAAACAACAACTTTCAGATGCCCTAAATTCTGATCCTTCACTTGGCGATTCACAAAAGTTGTCAGCAACAAAGCGTTTGTTAGGACAACTTCGGAATGAGAAGGAAAACCCAGCAACAAAGAATACAAAGGAAGCGTTACTTCTTCAATCCCAGGTTGTCATTTTTGTTACTTTTAAACTATTTGTTGAACTCAGAATGTTTAGGAAAGTAAAAACATATTGATAAGGATTTTTTTTAATGTTTGGTCACATTTGATTGATTTGTTGCATGTGCATTATTATTAAAGTTTTAGTTGTAGTCATATACTCATATTATAGTAGTAACAGCAGCAGCAGTTATTATTATTGTTAGAATTATTTACAGGCGATACAGCTGGAAGAGCTCCAACGAAAAGTGGTAGAGCTAACGGAGACGAAAGATCAACTGGAGATTAGAAACCATAAACTGGCAGAGGAGAGTTCATACGCCAAAGGATTAGCATCCGCTGCTGCTGTTGAGCTAAAGGCGCTATCAGAAGAAGTCTCAAAGCTAATGAACCAAAATGAAAGACTTTCTTCTGAACTAGCAGCAGCTGCTGCCCAAAAGAGTTCCCTCGCGCAGCGGAGAAACAGTATCCCCATGCGGAACGGGCGGAGAGACAACCATGTCAGGCGGAGTGATCAAAGTGCAAGTGTGGTCCCCACCACAGACATTAAGAAAGAACTGAGCGAGAGCAGGGAAAGGGAGGCTTTGTATGAAGCCGCGCTTGCGGAAAGGGATCGTAATGACGCTGAGCTACAAAGAAGGATTGATGAAGCCAAGGAAAGAGAAGTGTATCTTGAGAATGAACTGGCGAACATGTGGGTTAAAGTAGCAACGTTGAAGAATGCTCAAGAAGATGGAGAAGAAACGAGGGGGAATCGGAGGACTGATGGGTTTGATGTTCTTTGGAATGAAGAGGGGGCTTAGAAATTTCTCTAGAGGTAGTTAGTAGTTACTAGGGAAATTTCCCCAAATAGGATTAAAAACAATGAGGCTTCCTTAAATGGGTATACAATGTGTTTTTTAATCTAAATACGAGCAAAGTATTGTCAGCTTGAAATCATAGTGTCATGTAATGAGATTATCTAACATCAATATGACAATACTTACTCCTATTTAGGGAAAAAACATATTACTCATATCTAGAAAAATCCGTCTTGTTTTTGCTCCTATTTAGGGCAATTCTTTAGTTACTTCTAGTTGTCTATTGCCGGGCTGTTCATGTTTTTGTGGATATTCCTCTAAACAGTGTTTTTCTGGTTTGAGTTTTTGTGATTGATGTGGGGGTGGTATATAACCAGCTGCTACTCCGTAAGCTAAGAGGTGCCTTCCACTAAGTTGCATACTTGTATGTATCGAGTGATTAAATAGATTTCTCTGTACAAATGTTTTCTGCGCAGCTAACAATACGAACAGGTCCATGACTTCCATCTTTATTTGAGAAAGACATTGAAGCTTGTGCAGTTGTGCTTGTCTTATGTTATTTTTGCTTTTCTTTCGACTCTTGTGCCTAGGGATGGACCCGGGCCTATGGATGGACTCGGGCCGGGTAGCCCGACCCGGAACCGGCCCGGGACCGGTACTGTTCCGGCCCGGCCCGGCCCGACCCGGTGGCCCGGTCAGTGACCGGTCCGGGTAGGCCCGGCCCGTGGGTTTTCCGGTCCGGGCTCGGGTCACCCAAAACAAGGCCCGATCCGCCCGGGCCCGGGCCCGGTTCGGGCCAAAAACTATTTTTTTTTCAATTTTTTTTAAATTTTCGGGTTGGGCTGGGTATTTTGGGCCATTTGGGGTGGTTTGGGGGGTTGGGGGTGGGAGGGGGGTTAATTAGGAAGAGGAAAACAAAAAAAAAATATAAAGGGCCCGGCCCGACCCGGACCCGGACCCGGTGGTTACCCGGACTGGTCCCGGGTCCACCATTTCTGACCCGCCGGCCCGGACCCGAGTCCATCCATACCCGGGCCTGTCCGAGCCCGACCGAGCTTTTTTTGCAGAATGTTGGGCCCAGAACCGGCTCGGGTTAATATCGGCTCCGGGCCAAACTGGGCCGGGCCCGGGTCTATTTAATATTTTTTTTTGCTTTCAAATTAACCCCTGACCCCCCCTCACCCCCACCCCTCAAATCTCTCAAAACAGCCGGTCTTGCCCAAGGAAAAGAAAAAAAATTGAAAAAACAAAAAAAAATGGAATCGGGCCTGGCCCGAACCACTTGGGCCGGTTCAACAATATTGGGGCCTGAGCCCGGCCCGCCCGGCCCGCCAACACGGGCTAAAAGCCTGGAACCGGCCAACCGGGCCCGGTCTGGTCCGGACCCGCACAGTAACGGGCCGGGCCGGTTCTGGGCCGGTTGACCCGGCCCAGTCCATCCCTACTTGTACTCTTATCTATCTAGATTTTGTTTAGGCTGAATTTGGTCGATGATGAAAAATAATGATTTAAGAAACACTACGTATGTTATTTGAATTAGGTTGATGAATGATGATGATGATATACGGATTACGGAGCGTCATATTTCTACTTTTTAGAAATATACTCCCTAGTCTCAATTTGGAAGATATATTCGCTTGAACAACATAATCACTCTTAATATTTTATTTTATATAACAAAAGTTTATGAAATTTAAATTGTTTTTTGCAGGCTTTGCAGCGGTTCTAATGTAGTTTCTGAATATGTAAATTTTATTTTTTAAAACTAATTTGAGTGTCGACAAGAATCAATTTGCTTTATTGTCAGTCGAACATTGTAAACCGTAAAATGTCTTATGAATTAGGACGGATGGAGTAGTTAGTTGATGATTGATGAGCTTCAAAGTCCAGGGCTATGTAGTACTTCCTTTGTCTTGCTAATATTCATCCAGTTTACTTTTTCGGTAAATCTCACTAAAATTGTCGTATATCAAATTTGGTAAAGTTTGTATGTCTTTCAATTATTCCTAATTTATTTTTACTTTATCAATTAATATCTACCCCATAAACCCACTTGTTTTTATAATCATGTCACCTCCTTCCGTCCCAATATTAGTAGGACGCAGGTAGTATGTATTACTCCCTCCGTCCCGCTAAGATTGTCTCATTTTACCTTTTCGGGAAGTCCCACTAAGATTGTCTCATATCAAATTTGGTAAAAATTGTGTGACTCTAAACCATTCTTACTTTATTCTTACTTTATCAATTTAATATCAACTACACAAACCCACTTTTCTTAATAATCGTGCCATCTTCTCTCGTTCCAATCTTAGTGGGACGGAGGTAGTAATTTTCTAAAAATGAAGCTTGACAATTCCTACGCTCGTTATAATTTTCTCATTTTCTTCTCTCATCCGTCTCACAAAACTTGCCTGGTATCATATTTAGTAATATTTGTACGATTCTAATTCATTTTTATTTTGTTCTTATTTTGTCGATTCAATATTAATTATATAACTCTCTTTAAAAAAACAGAAGAAATTCCACTTATGGTCCTTCGAGTTTTGCACCAATTCCACAATTAGTCCTCGTCTTTCATTTTATCCATTTTTGGTACCTGACTATTGTTTTCTTGACCATATATAGTCCTTTTCCGATAGTAAAAATGCTCAGAAATGGATCACAAATGGTCAAGAAAACAATAGTAAGGTACCAAAAATGGATAAAGTGAAAGACGAGGACTAAATATGGAAATGACACAAAATTCGGAGGACCTAAAGTAGAATTAAATAAAAAAAACATCACCCCTTTATCTTCTTCCGATTTTAAAGAGATGGAGGTAGTATTTGATATTCACGCTGCGTCCACGGGCCATCCATTACCATTAGTACATTAAGGCATTGCCCGTTTATACCTATCTGGCACCTTGAAATCTTGAATTGGAGTCTATGTTATCAAAATTAACTTGCCCACATTTGCTTAGATTTTAGATTCGACTCCAAGATACAAACTGTATCGGTTTATTTTATTATTATTATTCATTTTTCTAAAAGAAGCTAAGTACCCACTTGATACTAGTTTGAGAACTGAATCGCATTGAACAATCTGGATAACCAGAGCCAGAATAGGTTAAAACATTATAGTTGCTCACAAGATATTTTTATTGTATTTGGCCAAACATTTGTTTAGAAGGCACACAAATACAAGATAGTATTTTATTAACAAATAACTAATTATTCATCAAATGATAGCAAAGTAACATGTGAATTATTTGTCTAAGGCTACAATGGAATGAGGCTTAAAACAAAAAAGGGAAAAAAAAAAACCTCAAACTTTGAAGGTGTGTGAGGTAAATACCCCAAACTTGTATATGTAATTTAAATACCCCAAACTTTATATAAAAAGTTATTTTTGCACCATTATCATGTATTATTTCTTTCAAAAATGTAATTTTTTGGGGTTAATTGCATAATTTAAAATAACAAATTAAAAGTGTAGCAATTATATAGATTTGAGATTAGTGGATTACATTATTTATTTCGCAATGGAAATATAGAATGTTAATTGTGTCTTCATGAATTCTAAAATATATTAAATTATGCAATTAACATCATAAACTTACATTTTAAAAAGAAATAATACTTGACTATGGTGCTAAAATAACTTTTTATATAAAGTTTGGGTTATTTAAATTAGGGAAAAGGGTCAAATAGGCTCTCAAACTTACACAAAAAGGTCAAATAAGCTCTTATATAGGAGGATATGTCCGGCCTTCACAATTTGGGGAAGTTCCCGGTGGAATTTTTTGATGAATTTTTTTGAGAATCTTATTCATTAAGTCTAGTTTACTCATACCAAATATAAGCTTACAATTCAATCGAGAAGACATTCAAATGAATTCTTGAAGATAACTGCGCTTTTAACTGCGCAGTTATCTTCAAGAATTAATTTGAATGCCTTCCCGATTGAAGTTTTAGCTGAAATTTGGTATGAGTAAACTAGACTTAATGAATAAGATGGTCAAAAAATTTCATCAAACAATTCCACCGGGAACCGCCCCAAATGGCGACGGCCGTACAGAGCCTCCTATATAAGGGCTTATTTGACCTTTTTATGTAAGTTCGAGGGCCTATCTGACCCTTTTCCCTTTAAATTACATATGCAAGTTTGAGTTGTTCATCTCACACCCCTTCAAAGTTTGGGGTATTTTATTTATTTTTCCCAACAATTTATTTTTCCAGATTCCTAATCTCGCAATAATATAGTCTAACCTCGTTGGTTTATTGGCTAAGAATACGATTTATGTGGCTAAAAACAAATTGTGTTGCATTAACTTCGTACACAAGTTACGATGTATTGAAAAAACATTAAGGAAACACGCAAGCTGATTAAAAAGTTGCTTACTAACTGAAAGAAGTGTTTAAAGCGCCGCTTACTAAACATACAACCCCGTGTATTAATTAAGTGACACTTTAAGCTTTTTCGGTTTTCGAATATACCACACCCCTTACCCCAACACCCCTACCCTACCCCGACCCTACGCACCTACCACCTGCCCCTACCTCGACCCATCCCTAGCCCCTTACCACCTACCCTTGACTATACCCCGAACCACCCCTACCCCTTTACTGCATATCACCTGCCCTACCTCGACCCCATCCCTACCCCTACCCCCACATGGACCTAACCCCTTTACCCCTACCACCACCTACTCTACCTCGACCCGACGATCGAGTAGGGTAGGGGTTAGGGTATGGGTGTTGTAGGGGAGTAGGGGTAGAGGGTAAGGTCATGGTAGGGGTTGGTAGGGAAGGGGTAGAGGTCATGGGGTAGGGTATGGAATTGGGGGTAGGGTGGTGTAGGGTAGGGGTAGGAGTGGGTTACGGGTATAGGCGGGGTATAGGGGTATGTGTACGAGGTGATCCCCACGTATTATATTATATACTTGTGTTCATGAATGTTTGTGTCTATATATATATAAAGTTTTTTTGGACATTTTAATGTGAAGCGGTGTTTTAAATCGTTTAAAGTAAACATAATAAGCTTACAACGTAACATTGCTTATTTTATACGCTGCTTATTAACGCGAGTCTTAATAAGCAACGTTTAGTAACCCGTGAAGTAAACAAGTGATTATAGATTAACTGAAAGCACTAGTTCTAGCATATCCGGATCCGGGTAAACGGAATACGGAATAAAATATAGACCCGTACCCATTAAAAACAACCGGGTCCGAGTCAGGTCCGGGTTTAGACGCGACCCATTGACAGGACTAGTCTATATGATATTTCAGTGCAAATACACTACAAAAATAATCGCTTGTAGTCACGGACCGTAGTTACGGATTTCGTCCGTGACTAGTTAGTCATGGTTCTAGTCACGGGCTAGTCACGGATTGTTTAAAAAAAAATAGTCACGGATACGTCCGTGGCTACGTCCGTGACTACGGTTAGTCATGTAACGCCCCAATTTTTATGAGCTAGTTATATTAATCAATATTATTTATTTTAGTTAGTTAAATAAGTTTCTTCTATGACTAATGTGATTTATTGTTTGATCACGTG